TCTCTCTCTCTCTCTCTCTCTCTCTCTCTCTCTCTCTCTCTCCTTTCCCTCCGTTCATTAGCTACTCTGAGCTTCATCTAGGCCTCTCCATTCTTCTCCACTCCCGGTCCATCTCGGCCTCCGGGCCCACTCTCCTACTGGCTGGTCACGCACCACATTGCAGAACCTCTCCTAACTCGTTTTTACTCACTCGAAATCACACTGGTGTGTGGGAGGTTCCACCCTGCCTTAGACTACAGGACGCTGTGGTCACTGGCGGGGGCACGCACAACTCGTATCCCCCCCACCAGTGATTGCAGGATGCTGCCCTGGGTTTTGGGAATTTAACTCGAATCAGCAATAGAAAAAAGGACGCTTTTCTTTTGCTGCCTGATTCTTCTTGTTCTTGTTTTTATGTGACCTAAGCCAAACCTTTCTTTTCCTACTTTCTCCCCGTCTCTCTCCCTTGTATGGTACTCTTTCCTGACCTGATTCCTGATCCTGGCTCTGCTTCTTCTGGGCAAAAGAGTCTCTTTGTTCTCCCTACCTGCCTACTGAGGTCTTTTCTCTATCTCTTCTTTGCTCTGTACATAATCTGCTGCTATGGGAACCACCCACTCAAATTCTCAGGCTCTCACACCTCTTACTCGTCTTCTTAAATCCTTGAAACAACTAGGACTGTCAGGCACAATCAGGCTGAAACACCTGAGATTTCTGTGCACCACTTCCTGGCCTCAGTACAAGTTAGACAATAACTGTTTGGCCAGACACCAGACCTTAAACCTCAATATTTTAAAAGATTTATAAAACTTCTGCCATTGTAACAGCAAGCAGTCTAAACTACCATACATCCAAGCTTTCTTTGCTCTCCGTGCTAATCCTTCCCTTTGTGTCCCATGTTCTTCCCATCAGGTTTATCTGTCTAAGACAGTTTCACCAGACCCCAATCAGACAGGGGCCTCCGCTTCTCTTCCCCCTCCCTACCCCTCCATCTTGGCTTCTGATCCTGCCCTAGTTGATG